CAACTTTTAGTTAGTAGAAAGCTGAAGGGGCAGCACAACTGAAGAGCGGCCGCCCTGAAGCGGCCAAGACACATTTTGTACAACATTTAAATGGGCAGCTGGTGCTACACAAGTCCTAGTAGGTTGCAAAAAAAATAAATAATAAAAGAACCAAGCTAAGACCACACCGAGACAGAAACAGAGCAAGGAGATGCAAGTCGGGCACAAGACATGCAACAACAACAACAACAGCAACTTTTTTTTAACGACATTTATAGAATCAGGCGAAAAAAAGAGGCAAACTTCAATGAGGAGTGAAGTGGGGGAAGGGGAATTGCTAAGCAGAACGTGGCTGGTTCATTTTTCTACATAAAAGAATTTGTTTCTCCCTTTTTGCAATTTGCAGCTTGTTTTATTATTATTATGATTATTATTATTATTTTGAAAAGCCTCTTTGGCAAGTCGCTTGAAGCGCTTTTCACTGTTTCTCTTGTGTGAAGTTCTCAAGTTGTACAACTCAGTCAATCAGTCAGTCAATCAGTCAGTCAGTCACTCAGTCAATCAGTCAGTCAGACAGACAGAGGGGAGTTTGAAGAGCGCATGTCTAATGACAGCTATCGTTAGACAGTTTGTGGTCTTTAACAGCTTTTAAAAACGGGTCAAAACTAAAAATGCGGAGAGAAAGAGCGTGTTAACGCTAAAAATGGTTAGAGCAATAGAGCAAATGATAGTATTTACTGTTTTTGACGGTTAAGGTAATAAGCAACTTGGAAAGTTGACCAGCATGAAGACAAGTCATTGGCTAACGGACGGAGGGAGAGGGGTGCTGTTGTTAGCGGACTTATAGAAAACATGAGCATAACCATGAGCATAATATTGGTCAATTCTTTGTTGAGATACATTTTCTTTAATCATTTGTTTTGTTTATTTAAACTGAAGACTAGTTAATCCGATTTGGTTGGCAAGCTAAACATTATTTCTGTTTTCGTTAATTGTCCAACAAAATATTAACCTTATTTGCCGTATCATAAATCACTCGAAAAATCGTTTTGTGATTTGGCTTCTGTTTTATGAGTTGTGCATTCATAAAAAATGTTATCATCAACGTCAAATTTAATAAATAATAACGCTTTAAGCTAAATTGTTCAATTTGTAACTGCACTTTTGCAGTATAAAATAATAATAACTAATAACTACAACTTTGTATGCTGTACTGGACTTATATTAACTAGTATATCCTTTAATGGGTTCAGGTTACAAAAATAATAATAAATCGGCAAGTTTGCTCCCTTGAGCAGAGTAACTTTAAGTGAAGCACTCTCGTCTCAAGCAATTATTAATTATTGAATATATTTTCAATAATTTCTTTAAATTGTTTAAGCAAAAGTTAAGCAGAGATTCTTATTCTAAAATTGGTAATTTTTCATTATTTTGTTTTTAATATTGTTATTTCTTTAACATCATTTTTTAAATACTTTTTTATTCCTTTATTATTTGGTTTTTTTGTTTGTGCTTATTTTTCTCACATTCTCTGTTAATTTTTATGTTTCAAGTATTAAGTATAAACATTATTTTTTGTTACGTTTCAGCTTTATAAGCTATCCGTTATATTTGTGTACATTTTCCCAATTCTTTTTGTTATGTGTCAAGTTGCTGGAAAATATACTCAAGGTTCTATCTGCTTTTTAATCACACTTCATATTTCTGTTTCATAATCTATGCAAGTTGTCTCTCTCTCTCTCGCTCGTTATCTATTTCTATCTCTCTCTGTCTCTGTCTCTGTCTCACTTTCTCTCTTTCTCAATAGGGAATATAGACTGTTCTCGTTAAATGAAAGCCGATATCTCGTTTGGAACAATGGCAATTCGCAGTCACGGCAATGCATCGATATCAGGTCACAATTCTCTGACTTGTCACAATTCCCAGTGCCACGTTACGGGGCACTTAACAAATGCGAGTTCAGCATGTCAGTGTGTGTGTGTGTGTTTGTGTGTGTTTGTGTGTATACATGTAACTTGAGCAGCAGTCGACGCACACATAACGTATACGTAATGCATCACATAGATAGTTAGGGAGAGAGAGGGTGCAGGGTGGCAGGTAGAAGCTGCAGTTAAGCACATTGTTCTGGTTACAGTTGCAGCATAAGCTGCTCAAAATAACACACACTCACACACACACACAGCACCCACATTTAACAATTTGTAAACAAATATTTAGCCAATTTAATTCAGCTTGCGTCTGCTGCTAAGCAAACTCTTTCGGCTCCTTCAGGCCAATTGTACACCATTAATTTGTATCACTCAAAACTGAAGTAATTTACTTCACACCACCTCCACAGAATAGGCCACATAATCTATTTATGTTTACACTGCACACTGCGCCAGATCCACATTTTGGTATGCCATTGCATTCGACTATATCCAATAGTTCCCATAGGAACAATCGGTCGGAAGATGACCTTTTTGTGATCACTTTATTTGTTTAACAAGATATTATCATTAAATTGCCTAATAAACATAAAATGAACGAGTTCAGACTACTATATCCTATATAGTTGCCATGGCAAAAATCAGTCGAAAGATAGCTGCTTGAATTTTACTTTGTACTTGCAAAGATATTTCAATCTACATATCTGTTAGCTTCCCTAGAATCAATCTGAATTCGAAATCGTAGCTATTCTGCCACAGAAATGATGTTAATCTGGCCCAGTGTACATTGAGTCTCAAAGTCCTTCAATAAGCACCTATTGCTCTCTCGCTCTCACTCTCTCACTCACTCATTTACAACTTAACTATCTCTGTCTCTGTTTGCAGGTGCCATTAATGCTTTTGTCTTTGTTGCAGCTTAATGAGCTGCATGTGTTTCTCCATCTCTCTCCCTCTCCCTCTCTCACTCTCTCTCTTTATCTCTCTCTGTCTCTGTCTCTCAGTCGCTGTGAGCTGTTACTTTATGGCAGGCAGGCAGCAACCGCATTTTAAATGCATTTTGCAAGCGCATAAATCACTCAATTGGAAAATGCACACAGACCAAACAGAAAACTTCCTCTTCTTTTTTTTATGCCAACCCGTACCCAGCACATACCTCGGCGACCCCACCACCCCACCGCCGTACAACCCCCCCGCAGAGGCATAATTCATAAGCTGCTTAAGCCGCTGGTCATAAATTTAGTGCACACACATTAATTAGGCCGCCTGCCACATCCCTAAAGACACTCCTTTACCTATCCCTTCGCTTTTCCCTCTCTTCTAGCACACAGCACACCTTCATCTCTCCCCCACCACCCTCTCCCAGGATCCTTCCCCCACAGGCAAAACACACAACTCTTCTAATAGAGCAGACCTTGGCTTCGAGTTCTGCTTGTTGCTGGTTGCATCGCAGCCAAATGAGTAATGGATGCTCATTAGTCTTGGACCAGGGACTGGGAAACCTAGCTCGTAAATAGCACTACGCCAAATAGACTGGCAAAAAAAGAAAGAAAAAAAAAACAGATCCCTAAGTTAACCAGCTAACAAGCATCAAGCCAACTCCAATTCAATTCCAATACCCGTTCAACCTTTTTCTCCTTTTTTTTCCGTTGTTTATAATCAAAAAAAGTGTGCAACAATTACAGATTGGGCGATATCTGGAGTATATAAGTTGTATAAAAGGAAATTTGGCATATAATCAATCAAATTGTCAATCAATCAATGCAAACTAACAGCAACAACAACAACAACAACTCAATACAAAAACAAAGCACACGCAATCAATGTGAAAATGCTTGCAACGAAATTGAAATGGACAACAAAATTGGTGGGGCAACATTGGTGTGCTGGGCTGTGCTGGGCTTAGCTGGTTGTGTCGAAGGGGTATCCAATTTGGCCAAAAGGAGAGTGTGACAAGTGAAAATAACAACAACAACGACAAGAAAAACATCAACAGAGGCAACAATGAACGGAAATAATTAGAAATATATACAAGAATTACAGGCTCAAAACAAATAAATTAAAATTGAAATCGATATCGAAAATTCAAAAGTGTTGTGGGAAAAACTGAAGTCAGCCTTTAATCAAGTGAATTAATTTTTAACGCAAATCTTACAAAATTTGAAAGTTTAAAGCTGTTAATTTTTATGTTCTTTAAAATTGAACTCAGTAAATTGCAGTCAAATAAATATTTAAATGGTACACAGAAAGAAAAGCCAATGTGTATCAAAAAACTTTGTCTTATTTCATTCCAAAATAACAAATTTAAATTTATTTCCTGTGTTTACTTGATTTTACTTCATTCAAAACTAACAAACAAATTTATTAAATTTATTTATGTTTATGTTTTTTTTTTTTTATAAAGAGCATTTATATTTTAAGCATTAATAAACTTATTAAAAGGCTAAAAGCATTAATAGAGCTGGTTTTAACAGATAATACATAACATTAAATATTGCATTTGTTGCACATTAATCCAGAGGTCGCTGGTGTGGAGACGCTTTAATCTGTGGCGTGTAGTGATTTTTTTTTAAATTTTCTAACTTTATTTTTATTTTTTTTTTTGTACAAAGCCGCCCGATAAAATTTTACAAGCATTTCTTGAAATTGCATTTCACTTGAAGAATATGTTTCTCCTTTGATGATCAACAAGTTTCAACAAAAACCAGTAAAACCCAACCTTTTCTTGTTAGACTCCAAAAATTTGCAGTTCGTCAAAAGGAACTAAAATCAAGACATTTTTTCATTGAATTGCGCATAAGTCAAGATTTAAATATGAAGTGAACTTGCCACACATTTATGAGTCGTCTACACTTGCGACAAAGTTCTTATCGAATAAAGAACAAAGGAAAATAAAAAGCACTGGGGAAATTTGTGTTTTTAGATATTTGACTTATCACACTTTGTGGTTTTATTTTAGTTTGAAAAAATCACACATTTCTATTTGATTGTTACAAAAAAAAATCACAATTTAATGTTGGTTAAATTTCATTGCTGTTTTAAATATATATTTTTTCTTAATTTTTTTTTGTTTTTTTTTTTTTTGGGAACACTTACAATATGCTCCTTTAGCTCTTTGCGTATGGGTCCCAGCCACTGGTGTAATCCAATATACCGTTTTTGCACCATTTTCAGGGCAGGGGCGCCCTGGGCGTAGGGGCCGCCCAGTAAAGCGCTAGCGGTTTCCAGAACCACCATTTTGTTGTAATCGCTTGTTGTGCCGATTATGAAGTTATTTATTTGCTGTTGCTGTTGTTGTTGTTGTTGTTGTTGTTGTTGTAGTTATTGTTGCTTTTGCACAGATGACAAACACATCCACATACACACACACACACACATATACACACACGCACAATCTTGCCGTTGTATTTTATCCGGGCTGCTGATAAGCTCGCTATAGCCCCTATACTTTATTATATTAATATATTTTTTATATATTATATTTTATTTCCTTTTCGGTAGAAACGAGAGGCAAACAAATAAAAAACAACTCTTTTTCTGTTTTTTTATTTTTATTTTTTATTTTTTTTTTATCAACTTTGTGTTGTATATAAAGAAATGTTGGAACTTTGGTTTCTGATTGCTGGTATTGCGTTTTTTCTTTTTTATTGTAATGTGATTAACATTATATATATATACATATATATATATATTATGTGTAGAAATATATCTGGTCAAAAAACTGTTGATTCAGCTTGAGGGCAGAGTGAAACTTCGTATTAGCTGCTTGGGATTTTGGATTTTGGGTCGCGTTTCAATTAAATTTAAGCCGCATTCGTCAGACGTGCCTCGCTGGCCGCAAGTGCGATATGTGACACCCGATGCGATGCTGCTCCAGACTATATATGCATCTGTATATATCTATACATATTCACATAAATGTAAGCTGCTACTTTAATCCTCGGACGACGACATTGACGTTTAACGGCGAAATGATGTTTCCAATTCACGTTGCACGTTTTAGAGAGGGGAGGGAAATCCTTTAAATCATTTAAATGACACGCACTCAATATTTTCCTTCTTTCTTCTTTCTTCTTTTGCTTTTGATTTTTTTCTTCTTTTTGTTATAAATATTTTGTGCTTTATTGTTACTAGAAATTGCTAATTGTATTGTGCAATATTGAATATATTATATTAGTAATGCACTTTTGGACCACTTCAAAATATTTCAGCATAAATTGCACAAATATGATAATAATACAATAATAATAATAATAATTATATTAATAACACGACGACGATATTAGTCTAATTTTCACGACAATACGTTTGGTTTAACGGACTAAACGGGTACGGGCACGAGTACGAAACGGAAACGGCAGAACGAACCGCAGTGTTCAAAGTTCCATCGCGAACTGATTTGTAGCCTGCGATACGAGTTGTGCCGAACCAACAGAAACGACTGTCATAGCAGCGTACGAACGAATGAGCGACGAGGAGAGTTCGTCGTCGCACGAATGCAGCGCCAACGAAGCGGCCAATCTGTCACAGTGGTCGCAATGCGCTTAATCACCCAATCAAAATGAACAGTTTGTATGAAGTGGTGGCAGTAAAATGCGCTAAGCAATGAATTTAACTACACAATTTTAAGAAATTAAGTATGATAGGTACACAATAAACAACTGTTTCAAATGGTTACATCTACAAATTTCGTTACTTTACGCAATTTATAAACTCCAATACTTTTGCACCACTGTGCGACGCTGTTGAGTCAAAGAGAGCGAGAGAGAGTGCGACTTGTGTAGACTTTACTCAGCGCATACGAAAAACACTTGTTGACGTTCTACGAGGCGGCAGCGGCAGCAGCAGCAAAGCCGAGCACACCCCAAACGCAACCAGTCAGTGAGTAGTGTGGAGAGAGCGCGAGAAAACTGTTGCGCCCATTTGCTCTTATACTCTTATACTAGAGCACCGCACGGCATTGCCAGCTGTGTGGAAAGAAAGCGCAGTTATCTTTTGTAGAATATCTCGCTGATTTTGTGCATTCATTGGCCATTGGAAGTTTTCTAATTCTCTTTGAATGCAATACAGCCCCATATGTTTGTGTATGTATTTGTGTTTGTGTGGGTCTGTCAGCCTGCAAGGCGCTTTGCTTGCCAAAAGTTAACAGGTTGCCCTGAGAAATTTACAGTTTGAAAATATTATTCATGCTGATTAACATGATTATCATAATGAAAATACAAATGGAAATTGCATCAAGTTTACTTAAATAATATAAGTTTCATTTAAAAAAAAAAGTAAAATCATTAATATTAGTATTTTCAAGAAAAGTAATTATCTTAAATGCCGAAAATATGAAAAATTAACAACACATTTTAGCCAGTCTCTAGTCTTATTCTGAAATTAGTAACATCTGAGAAAGTGTAATACTTTCTTTATTTAAAACTAAAAAAAAACATTTGTAGTCTTATTTAAGTCTGAACTTTCGATGTAGAATTGATTTCAGCTTAAGTTCTGGTTTCTGAAAACCAAACAATTTCTGACTAAAGCACAGTTTTTATACCAAATTAAATTCCCATTGAAGAAAGATATTTTATTCTCAAAACTTTTCTGCCCGAAAGTTCAAATTTTAATTGAAGTAATTTTAAGTTATTTTTGTAGGATGCGAAAAAAGAACCAATATTATTAATATTTCACATGCTAATCAGCTGGACTCCTTCCCTATTATTATTACCAATACTGTCTGCATATTCCGAAAAATTAATCATTACTTTGTCCGCTATTAAATTGTCTGGCACCCAATGATGATGATTATGACGATGATGATGATCAAGCAGAACACTTATTACAATTTGGTTAATTCATTAATTATAGAGTAACTAGACGACAAGTCCGCGCACGCCTTCGACAATTTTAATGACGCTAGCCAAATAAAACTAAAACGAAACCTAAGACACACTCACACACACGCACACACACACACTCACACACTAGGAGAAAAAAACGATGGTATGATTATTATTAGGTAACGTTGAACCCATGCCGAGTTTGTTGACTTCTGCAACAAAGTGTGACTAAACAAATTAAGCCAAGAACTAGGAGGGCAACAACAAAAAAAAAAACAAAAACATAAAAAAAATGATAAATTAAGAAACAAAAAACGAGAGCACAGAACGAGAGAACGAGAGATGAAAAACCACTTATAAGGCACCAAAATGCGCAGTCGCAACAACAACAAGAACAACAACAACGAGGCGTTAAATTACATATTAGGTCTGCTGGACTTTACCTGGCTGCGTATCAGAGCAGTGTCAAAAGAAGACAGATAAAAATAATAACAGATGATGAAGAAGAAGAACGATTTCATGCACGAGAACGTGAAATTGAAAGAGGCTGCTGCATGAGAGATCTAGGAAATTGCATGTGCATGATGGAAAATCATCATCAGCGGCAGACAATAGCAACAACAGCAACAGCAACAAAACAATAACAACATCATCAACAAGCATCCATTACAGGAAAGAGACAAAGTGAGTTCACTAACTTCTAACGGTAACTCAATCACAAGCCCAAAGCGTACGCTTGCTCAACAAGTTGCCATAAGCATGTTGCCGCAACATTGCATCAGTAATTAATGCTGCCGTTGCTGCTCACGTGTTGCTATGGCCTGTGCATGTGTGTCTGTGTGTGTGTGTGTGTCTGTGTTTTGTTTTTAGCGCACAAGTTCAATGCACGGCAATCACACATGAGAAATTAGCACAAAAGCAATAACAACAACAACAACATATCCAAAGCTTTAGCTACATTGGAGCTTATGCAAACTAAGATAGCGCAAAGCAGAAGAAAAGAGAGCGAGCTGCTGCTGCTGCTGTTGCTGCTGCTGCTCTTACTCTCTTAGCTCACCTCGACAATGACATTCAAAAAAGCAGCAAGTCAAGCTTAGAGACACGAGAGCTAAACCTCAGTACATCTCACTCCAACACACTGTTGCTGCTTAAGCCAGGCAAATGTGTTCCCGTCAAACAGCTTTGAGTTCGTTCACCGCACGCGACGAAACAAAACAGCAACAGCGATGTTCGCAAAGACCGTTCTCAAATTTATGTCTGTGTGTGTGTGTGTGTGTGTGCGCTTGGCCTAAAATTTGTATACTGAGCCGACCGCGACCTGCCTAACTGCACAACAAGTTTGACTCTGGCAAAGACAAAGAGAGCAACAAAGAGAGTTGGGTGCGGGCAAGGGGCAGACAGAGAGAGAGAGAGAGAGAGAGAGATAGATGCTTGTGACGATCGTTAAAGTCGATGTTAATCTTGTCGCTGCCAGAGAGCGACTCGTTAGTAATGCTCTTTGCATGCAACAGCAGTCATTTCTGCCTAGTTGCTACCTTATTTTTTTTTTAGTTTTTGTCTGCCTGGTTAAATAGAAATTAAAATTAGCGCACATCTTAGTCAATTTGTTGCCAGCTCAATTAAATTGAAGCGACAGTGACTTTTATCGATAACGATAAGTGATGAATGCGATAGATATTTGCATGCAGTTTTTATACAATTTAATTTCCAATTTTTTTTTTTTTCCTTGCACAATTTCAATTCGCTTGTGCAAAACAGCTGTGAAGTGCTTAACCAGACATGAGGCAATGAAGTTTCAAGTGTGTGTGTGTGTGTGTGTGTGTGTGTGTGTGCAGGACTGTCAGAGTGTGAGTGCGTTCGTGTGAGAATTTTGCACAAGTATGCGGCTCTGACGCAGGGTTGTCAAGCACTTGAATGATGCTGTCAAGCACGTTGCATTAAACTATTTTTTAAACTCGTTATACATCACACACTTGTGCTGCGAATTTAAATGCAACGCTGTTGAGCGATGCGGCTTGGCCTGGCTGGTCGTTGCGGTACCCTAGAAAAGTGTCCACTTGCCACATATGTTTAATGTGATCAACATATTATAATTATTTCGAATTGTTTAATTTTCCCACCACACTAATCATAATTGAGTCAAAATTCGATTTCATTTCGTCTGCTGACAATTAATTGACATTACTCAACTAATCATATTAGACACGAAATTCGTTAAATCGAATTATTTATTCAAATCTATTTCATAATTGTGCACAATGAGTTTTGCGATTATTTATGGCTCATACATATGAATCGCTCATGTGGATTCGAACTTTTGCAATTATTACAGCAGCAGAGTTGCCAGCTACAACACAAAACTAACACAATACTCATGTTGTCTGGTTTTATTTGTTCTTTTCTCTCATCTCATACAACATCCAACACGTATCTATCTAAATTGAATTTACAATAGTTGACAATGCCACCTCACCTCGCAACCTCGCAACCT